AAAAAAAAATAATTAGAACAAAATAATACAATGGGAATTTATATACATAAATATATACATATACATATTTATATACATAAATTCCCATTGTCGATTTTTAGTCGAGCAATGGATAAACTTAAACTTAAACAGTATCAGCAAATGGATCATTTTATCACACAAGCGATCTCTGCAAAATGAACCAACAGAACAAACAAAACTCTTTAAAACATGTCTAAAATTAGCAATGTTAGAAATATTACGAATTTCAGAAGGCAGTCCATTCCACAGCGCAATCGACTGTACTGTAAATAATCTGTGATAAATTTCAGTGCTATGAACAGGAAATGTAAGAATAGTATCAGAACGTGAACGAGTAGCAAGCTCATGAGTTGATAATTGCTGTCTGATAAGTACTTTGGAGTGCAGTTATGAAGGATTTCAAATAAAATGGTTAATAAACAAAAGGATCTACTTCCCTCAGAGGTTAACATCTGAATGTAATTGCGATACGGCTTTACATGCTCAAATCTATTTAGGTCAAATATGAACCGGATGCAATTATTTTGTAGCCGCTGCTATTTACATAGAAGAGGTACTGAGAGATCGGGATAAACCGCGTCCGCATAGTCGAAGTGAGGAAATATAAGTGAGTAGCGTGAGTAGCAAAGATTACGACGGACCACCGGAGGAAGAGAGCAGCGAAGTCTTTTTAAAGAGTGGAAGCAAGCATAAACTTTTCTGCAAACATGTTGAATTTGCGTTTTCTAAGACAGTGCAGAATCCATAAGGACTCCAAGATTTTTAACTGTGTTAGAAAACCATATGATCCATCCAGCATCAGATCACTGCAGGTAGATGGATTAATCTTACAAAGTAGTTGACGAGTTAATTGACGAAATGAAATTTAGAGGCAAGATACAATCAAATTGAAAAACTTTTGTATGTAAAAGAGAACTAACCACGGGGAAAATGAGGAAAAGTGAAAAATCAAAAAATAGTTCGAAAAATACTTACAGTCAATGAAGCTATAATAGGTGTAGACTGGAAATTATGTGAAAGTAAAGCATTTTGTTATCTGATGGATAAACAAAATGGATAAAGGATAAAAATGAATTAAGAATGGCGTCGTTAGAAAGTGTGGAATCTGAAGAAACATAATAAATGTTAAACTAAAATTAGAACTAAAACTAGAACTAACACTAGACACTTTCGGGTTTTGCCGTGCGTCTTTTAATAAAAGGTTTGACGTTTCGGATGCCATGTTGCAACCTTCTTCAGAAACTGGTTCGAAGTGCAAACATGACATCACTTCGAAAAATTAGAAATTCGAATAAATCTTTAAGATCGTGTTAAAGATGTGTTGGTGAGATGAGATGAGGCGAGACTGAAGAGATCAAGTTAGAATTATTGTTAAACTGGAAAAGAGAGAGAGAGAAAAATCAAAAAAAGAGAGAGGGACGAGAAAATGATATTTAAATTTAAAAAAACGGATGGAGTAAATTATTTTTAAAAATAAGTTTTGAATTTGGTCATTAAGATCAAGTTTATAGCCCTTTTGGCATTTGAAAATCTTTAATAAAAAACTTGAAATTTTTTCTGTAGGTGAGTTATTAAATGAAGTAATGGGGAGGGAGAATGGGCATGTTTTCTTACTCCGCCAGCACCCTTGTCTGCTTTAACAAAANATAGTTTTGAAAATCTTTAATAAAAAACTTGAAATTTTTTCTGTAGGTGAGTTATTAAATGAAGTAATGGGGGGGAAGAATGGGCATGTTTTCTTACTACGCCAGCACCCTTGTCTGCTTTAACAAAAATACCATCACCCTCACTGAATTTTACTGCCATGCTGTTTACGATCTTCCACTGTGAAAAATTAAAATTACTTCTATCTTTATTTTTACTAAATTTTTGTTGAATCTCTTTCTTTTTAACAAATGATATCAATTGATTTTTAATCTCATTGAAATCGGAATGGTTTTTTATAATAACATCAAATTCTATAGCAATATTAGTTAAATTAGGTTTATTAGAAAGAGCAAATTTATAACCTCCCTCAATGAGATTAATTTCTTCTTCGGTGAAGCTGATGATAGTTAAGTTGGTAAATTGTGATTTATTGTCTAATTCGTTAAAATGTTTCTCTTTGCAATTATTAATTCTGACCTTATCCCAATTTTTCCTTAAGTTATCTTCCTCATTTTCCTACATAGATCGTCCTTCTTCGTGATGTTGGCCTCGTTGATGGGTTCTTTGATTATTTCATCCAATTCTATGTAATGTAGATTCTATGTAATTCTTGTTTAGGGTTCTCTGTGTTCTTGCCAATTATTCATATGTAATGTTCTGCCTCTTGTAGTGTCGCCTCTTCTCATCCCACAGTATATTTCTAATGATGTTATGTCTTGTTGTTTCTTTGAGCATGTTACACTTAAACTTCGCAAAATTTCGTATTAAATCTTCTTTTATACAAATATTAATGAATTTGATGTGATTGTCTATGATTTTCAGTCTCGTATATAGCTTGTTAAATCCATGGATAAGTGATGAAGCATTAACGATGAAATTGAAAGAGTTATCCATGTTGCAAGATTAATGATCAAATAAAAACCATATATTAACTTCTTTCTAACTTGCATTTATTTATATAAAGTCATACTAGTTCCGGGTTACCCCATCATCAGCGACAACTATAATGAGTACAAACCATAAGCTACCATTCAAAAAAGTTGTACATAAAGTTAAGTGATGTTAAACTCGAAAAATATTTTTTTTTATAAAAGGTGATTTAGTGATTATGATAAAAAATTAGAATTTAAATTAAGAAACATATAAATGTAAATGTTTAATAAAGTTAACAATTAAACAAAAAAAACTTAAAATTAGTCTTAAATTAAAACTTTTGTAAAGAATTTATTTTACTTTCTTACAGAAGAAACTACTAATAGATCAAAATAAACAAATATTGTGAAAAAGAATTTAGTCTATGTTTTTGTCCTGTTATGGGATGGTGATTTTAGTCACTAATGGGCAGATACATACATACACATTAAAGAATTAACTTTTATTTGAAAAAAATACATAACTATTAAAAAAAACATTATGTTTCTCATATTTATCGAAGCATTTTAGATGCAAATGGACATTGTACTTTTTACAAATAAATGGAGTATGCACATGACATACTTTACAACGACGTTTGATTTTGATATTTGACTGAATGATAAACGTGACGTTCGTGATGAAGTAAATGGATGATGCTAATTCTGGCATCATCCATTGACAAATCTTCAGCCAAAAGTACCGATCCATTACTAAAGGCTTTTCATAGTTTGCAATTAGTACATGTAATTTTCATGAATTTACTAACATATTTGAGAGTGTATTTGTGAAAAGCAGCCACCACCACTTCTTACCACGAATCCGATAATTCCCGAATACACCGCTTAGATACGTGTTATACTCTTTGATCATGTGTGTAACACTGAGGTTAGTATGTTTTTTGCTTTTCTATCATATGTTCGGGCAGTTCCAAGTGGTAAAACAGAAGAAAAATTAGATAGTAGAATAACATGGCATTATCTTTCCATCGAATTATGGTTATTTGGTTCATACATAATAGCATATTCTCCTTTCTTGATCTGCTCAAGTAATGTTGATTTGCTGACTCTATTTGAACGAACAGCTGCAGTTGCAAAGTACCTAAACTCAGATAATAAACACATTAAATGATACGATGTAAAGAAATTATCAAAGAAGACATGATGTAAATTTGGTGTCTGAACTATTTTTAATAGCGACATTACCACATCAATACTGAGGCCAATCGTTCTATCGTGTAGAGTAGACACTTTACCATATGGCATTCTTTGAAGCAAATAATCATTTGATGAACGGAGGCACCACGTTTTGAAACCAATACTTCTTGCAAGAATGGCGTCCAAAAGTACGGTATCATTTACTCGTCAATGGAAAGATTGTGTGCAAAAATGTCGAACTGCATAAGTCTTCTATTAGCTTCATCCAAAAGTGGATGTACTTTTGCAAAGTTATCACTTGCATCTGAGTCATTATTGTTGGAAAAATGAATGAATATTTTGATGAACTCAAATTGAGATCTAGGAAGAAATTATTTCACAATTTGAACCCTGAGGTCTGGTTGACTTGACCATAGTTGACCATAGTAATAACCGCTCGATAAAAGAATATCGAAAAACCTTTTCAATTTATATGGCTTCAATCCAAGATAAGCATTATGTTGAGTAGCGTACTCGTTGCTAAATTTATCATATCGATTCGATATGATCGATTGAGTTCATTAACTAGAAATTTAGTAAATTGTCCTTGAGGCGATTTTTCAGCTGAAAATAATTAAAATTTTCTATAATTACACTAAGACAGTTGATTCAAATGTAAAGTAATATCTAAACGTTCGATAATAGTATTGACCAACATTGGATCTGTATGTACTGGCGATTTAATATCTCGTTTTCTCCATTTCGGTGGCCCAAATTCCTTCAATGACTTAAAAACTGATGGAGCTTTATCAGTTAAAATTACAGTAGTCACTTTCAGCGTCCATTTCTGCTGGTACATAAATAACATGCTAAAAAGAGTTAATGTGTCGGCCTACTGGTAACCAGAATCACCAATAATTTTTAATTACAGGTAACACACACACAGCGCATATGAGTTAAAATATGAATGTACACGTTGATACTACAGGTAAAACACTTTATGAAAAATGGTTCCCGGTTAAAGTAGATCATTACTACGATGTAATAAAATATATTTCAAATTTGTCATTTTTTAATAGTTCGATTTTGGCCCCAAAGAGGTGTAGTAGGACAGAAGTGATCAAAAAATATATGTGATATACAAAATATCCATCTAATATCTACCAGTCACTATTTGTCTGTAACATTCTTCGTTTGTCTAAACTAAAATAGAAAAGTTGTTGGTGCATAAAATCACTGTCTGGGCAAAGATGGGTTAATCAAAAGGTTATTTTAATAAAAACATTAAAAATTGATTACGTTTTTATTCAACTCAAAAGTAGCTGTTACAAACAATCCAAATCATTACAGTTTACATCAATTACATCAAAAATATGGCAAGTCTATATAATTTTCATGGTATCACACTCGTAAACTGTTCGTGAAAAATCAAAATTTTCTTATACAAAAATCTAAATCTAGCTTAATTCAACAGTAAATATCATTAAAATCGATTAACGCTTTGGTTTCAACTCTAATTAGGAACTAAAATAAGTCTCGTAAACGCCTAAAAAGAAAAAAAATTGGTTTATACAAATAAAAAATAAATAAAAACTCACTTTTAGTTTTAGAGTTGAATCTCTCTTTGGATACGTCCCAAATTACTGGGACCTTTACAATATTCTAATCCATGACAAACGGAAGTTACGTCCGTTTGATAAAATGCACTTCTCACCAACGTAACTGCATGTTTATTTGCAATTTGGAGACACTAAAAAGATTAAATTATAATTGAATTTTGATTTAGAATAAATATTATACTTCGGGCTTGTATGGATCCTCAAGTAATTCACAANGTCAGTCCCAAGTTCATAATCAAAATTGATGGTGTTACGTTTCTGGCTATATGTCATTACCTGACATTTGGAAGTATTCAGAATCAATCTATTAGTAGTACACCACGAGTAGAGTTTATTTAAGTCCAACTGAAGTGAAATGCAATCCTGTTCACTACCAATAGTAGTAAACAACTTCAGATCATCTGCGTACAATAGGGCATTCGTGTTAAAGCTCATTGGTAAGTCATTCACAAAAATATTGAACAGTAGAGGGCCAAGTATGGATCCTTGAGGTACGCCACTAGTAACGCTTATTTTTCTCGATTTAATACCAGCCAACTCGACGTATTGTCTTCGATTTGATACATAGGATGACAGAAGCCGTGTAAGAGAACAATCACACCCAAACTTCTCCAACTTTTCCATCAACAAGAAGAGGTCTAAATAATCGAAGGCCCGTGAGAAATCCGTGTATATGACATCCATCTGTTCTTGGCGATCTAGTGCGATAGATACGTATTCGGCAAAACTCAACAGGTTAGCGGCTGTGGATCTACCTTTGCAGAAACCATGTTGATGTTTAGACATTCCCACTTTGGTGTACAATTCCATCTTGTATGTATTTAGTATTTATTGTGCGATCAAACATACAATGTTATGCATGAAACGTACAAAAGTCAAAAATGAAAGAAAAAAGGTAACAATAATAACAAAAATTACAACATAATAATTATTACCCTTATCAAATACTATTCTAGAACTCTGACATAGAGTACGGTTCTATATTACATAATAACTTAAAAATAGTTCTCTTATAAATTATAAATTTATTAATTTGTTTAATCGCCATCGGGAGTNTAATAACCGCTCAATAAAAGAATATCGAAAAACCTTTTCAATTCATATGGCTTGAATCCAAGATAAGCATTATGTTGAGCAGCGTACTCGTTGCTAAATTTATCATATCGATTCGATATGATCGATCGAGTTCATTAACTAGAAATTTAGTAAACTGTTCTTGAGGCGATTTTTCACCTGAAAATAATTAAAATTTTCTATAATTACACTAAGACAGTTGATTCAAATGTAAAGAAATATCTAAACGTTCGATAATAGTATTGACCAACATTGGATCTGTATGTACTGGCGATTTAATTTCTCGTTTTCTCCATTTCGGTGGCCCAAATTCCTTCAATGACTTAAAAACTGATGGAGCTTTATCAGTTAAAATTACAGTAGTCACTTTCAGCGTCCATTTCTGCTGGTACATAAATAACATGCTAAAAAGAGTTAATGTGTCGGCCTACTGGTAACCAGAATCACCAGTAATTTTTAATTACAGGTAACACACACACAGCGCATATGAGTTAAAATATGAATGTACACGTTGATACTACAGGTAAAACACTTTATGAAAAATGGTTCCCGGTTAAAGTAGATCATTACTACGATGTAATAAAATATATTTCAAATTTGTCATTTTTTAATAGTTCGATTTTGGCCCCAAAGAGGTGTAGTAGGACAGAAGTGATCAAAAAATATATGTGATATACAAAATATCCATCTAATATCTACCAGTCACTATTTATCTATATCATTTTTGTTTATCTGAAATAAAATAGAAAAGTCGTTGGTGCATAAAATCAACGTGTCCGTTATTGCCGTATTCAAAGAGAAATAACGCGAAATTCTCACGAAAAGTCGAGAACGGTGGTATGTTCAGTCGACCAGCAAGGGAACCAAGCATGTGACATTGGTTTTCTTGTTAAAGCGTTCTGTTTATGATTCAACTTTGCGGGTTGAGAATATTTTAAAACGTTTATTTTACGATTAACTTTTCTGCGATTAGTTGCATTGTTTTTTTTACACTGGGACGTTGAAGCGATTAAAGCGATTCACCGTTGCAGATGAAAAATTTCATTTAATATTATTAAACACTTTGGTGTATTATGAGCAAAATAACTACTCGGCAGGATTGATCACTTTAATGCCCGTAAAGCAAAAATGAGCTGTAAATGAAGCTACAGATAAATTATACGAAGGTTTATATTCTTTTAAGCGCTACTAATCCTTAATGGAATCGATCGTAAAAGGATTTTTTGAAACTACAATCGCGGTAATTATAAAGAAACATGAATTGCACAGAAAAGTCTAAATGAAGTTCTTAAACATTAGTAAAAAATAAAAAATCTACCTTCCCTGTTCTCCTTCTGATTCATACGAAATACATAGCAACATTTTCAATAAATATTTTAACATTAATTTCGGTTATCCACGTTCTGACATCTGCACCTTTACAGCTGAGCTAAAGATTCTTCAGAAGAAACTAAAAGTAGGACATGAAGTATCTATTCAAAAGAAGATAGATGATAAAACCAAAAATTACTGTCGAAAACCTAATACACAAAACTAAAAAAGGTAAACTACCTTAACGAGCTCGAAAATAGCAATGAATAATGTTCAACTCAATATGATGAACAATTAGAACAAAATGTTGAATATCGTGTTAGTATAAAGCAAAGAATTTTTGATTGCAGAAAAATGTATTGATCTCGTCGAAACAAAATTTGAGTGATTTAAGTTTTCCTAGAACAAAATGACTTTGTTTCAGTAATAATAATGGAACCACTATAAGAGAGAAATTAGAAAAATTAATGCACCCACTGCAGTAACTATGTTTTGGTCATGACATACAACTTGCAGTGATTGCCGTCATCTATTCAAAAGATAGGCAAAAATTATCAAAAGCAAACACTCAAATTGATGGCAATATAAGTACCACGGACGACATTAACAATATTAATGACGATGGTTTTGACCTAATTGAAGACAATGAACAAATATCAATTAATTTAACAAATCACGAGAACATTGACGAATAACTGACTTAAGAATGATTGGACTCTTCCTGTTTCGTCGCTTTTCATTTAAAAATAATCATTTTTAATACTGTAAAACTCGATGGAACAGGTTAGCTCAAATTGAGGGGTCAAATCATCTCAAGGGGTGCAAAAAATTATAAAGCGTTTTAAGGAAACTAGAAGCTTAAATGATAGATATCAAAGAGGTCGACCAAATACTGTTACGAATGAATACAAAACATTAGGTGCAGTGCAAAGCTTATCTAGAATCAACATGCATTCTTATGCAAAGTGATTTGAAAAATCAGAACGCACGACAAAACCCGAAAGTTTCTAGTGTTAGTTCTAATTTTAGTTCAAATTAGAACAAATCAGAAAAGTTAAAAATATAGTCCAGTATAATTCATTTAATTGGGACCAAAGTCCAGGAAATGCATGAATCTAACAAATTTACATTGTACCCTCTCGATGGTGGTGATGTACCTTAAATAAGATGGTGACCAAACAATACAGCAATACTCAAGTGTGCTTCTTACGAGTATAAAGTAGAAATTTATTATTGTGTTTATATGAGCAAATTCCAAACTATTACACCACGAATAGAGTCTATTTAAGTCCAATTGAAGTGAAATGCAATCCTGTTCACTACCAATAGTAGTAAACAACTTCAGATCATCTGCGTACAATAGGGCATTCGTGTTAAAGCTCATTGGTAAGGCATTCACAAAAATATTGAACAGTAGAGGGCCAAGTGTGGATCCTTGAGGTACGCTACTAGTAACGCTTATTTTTCTCGATTTAATACCAGCCAACTCGACGTATTGTCTTCGATTTGACACATAGAATGACAGAAGCCGTGTAAGAGAGCAATCACACCCAAACTTCTCCAACTTTTCCGTCAACAAAAAGAGGTCTAAACAATCGAAGGCCCGTGAGAAATCCGTGTATATGACATCCACTGTGCGCTAGATACGTATTCGGCAAAACTCAACAGGTTAGTGGCTGTGGATCTACCTTTGCAGAAACCATGTTGATGTTTAGACATTCCCGCTTTGGTGTAGAATTCCATTTTGTATGCCACGATTTGTTCAAACAGCTTCGCGAAGTTATTTATAATGGCTATTGGCCGATAGTTCATCACACAGCACCTATCACCTTTTTTGAAAACAGGACAAATTCTGCTCAATTTTCAGGTTTCCGGAAATTCAGAGTTCCTTACAATTATTTGATTGAAAATATGTTGCATTGGTCGCAAAAATGCAGGCGCACAGTCTTTAACTATAAATGCAGGAATGCCATCTGACCCGGTTGTATTTTTTGCCTTAAATCTATTGAAGGATTCCACCATTTCGCCATAGCTAATTTCAGAGATACCCAAAGAAATCCTAGTCATAACAGGATTGATATGGTGACTATTGGAGGCAGCGAATGAGGTACGACTATACATACTTTCGAAATGGTCAGCAAATAAATTCACTGTAGTAGGTAAATCGGTTATGGTTTTACCATTCCATTTCAGAACACTTGGAGAGTTCGAGTTGTTTGTACTCATGTTAACAAAGTGCCAGAAACTTTTAGGATTGTCTTTTATATTTCTCTCCAAAGATCCGACATATTTACGACGATCATCTGGAATACGTGATATACAGTCTCGGCGAAGGCGACTATATCTTGTGTAATGATAACTGCAATGGGTAATTCTGTAAAATTTGTGGAAATGCTTTTTAATTTACCTCGACCTTGTGTGTTTCCTTCTGACTTTAGGAACATAGTGTCCATAACAGAGTATAGCTCACCATAAAAAACCTCACACGAACGCTCAACCGACGACTGAGATAGCAAGTAACTCCAATCGACATTCAATAATGCTTCATATAGGTTATGCAGATCAGCTCTCCTGAAACAATATCGAGCATCACTATGCAGACTCTGAGCTGCGGAATGTAGCGGAGGAGATACCCCTGATGATAATTGTCCTCCCGTACCATTGTAAAATCCGAGCGAGTGATTTCAAGATTTAAGTTTGATGAAGAAAGCACCAAATCCAAAGTTTTACCGATAATACTTTCTACATCATTCAATTGCACCAACTTGAACCAATTGGTCGTTGAAACTAAGAAAATTGCTGAGAGTAATGGCTCGTTCATCATTTATAGTGGTAA